GACGGTATTTGTCCACTGCACCAGGTACTGTCGTTGTGGCTTTCCTCTCACAAAGACAATACGACCTGCCAACACTACTAAAGGGACTTGTACTGGCCTATTCTCTTCTATCATAGTTGGAATAGGTACTGGCTGAGTATCCAAACTTCCCCTGAAAGGCTTAAGCAAGGAAACATGAAAAGTAGGGTGAATCTAACAATTAGGAGGCAGCTGCAACCTATAAGCTACATTTCCTATCTTCCTTTCAACCGGATAAGGCCCAAAGTACCGTTTTGCAATCTTGTGGCTGGCACGTTTTTCCACTGAAACTTGCCTATATGGTTGTAATTTCACCCAAACCAAATCCCCTTCTGTAAATGATCTGTCCTTCCTGTGTTTGTCACTCTGCATTTTCATTCGGTTTCTAGCTTGCATCAAATGAGCTTTCAACCGTGAGAGGATTTCATCTCTTTGGACTAGTAAAGCCTCAACGGCTTCTACCTTAACCAATCCCCTAGGACAAGAAGGGATATGCAATGGCTGCTTACCGAAGACAGCAGTATAAGGAGTCATACGAATGCTTGAGTGTACACTGGAATTGTAATGAAATTGTGCCCATCCAAGGAATTCTGACCAGCCCTTTGGCTTTTCATGACAAAAAGCACGCAAATACTGCTCAAGGTAACGGTTTGTCACTTCGGTTTGCCCATCCGATTGGGGATGACATGCAAAACTAGTATGTAATGACGTCCCACTAAGCTTGAACAATTGAGACCAAAACTGACTAACAAACAGGGGGTCTCAGTCAGTCGCTATAGATCTTGGAAATCCATGAGTGAAAACTACCAATTCACAAAATAAATTGGCTACTATTGCTACTGTGAAGGACGGAGGCAGCTTGCCAAAGTATGCAAATTTTGAAAGCCTATCAACTATAACAACGGTAGTTGAATAACCTCTAGACATGGGTAGTCCAACAATGAAGTCCATAGATAATTCTTCAAACACTCCTTCGGGCATGGCTAATGGTTGTAGTAGTCCACTTGGTTTAGCAGCCTCATACTTCACCTGTTGGCAGACTATACATTTGGCCACAAATTCCTTCACATCCTTCTTCATGGAACTCCAGTAGAATGTGGCAGACAGCCTGAGAAATGTACGCAACATTCCTGCATGTCCTCCAACGGGTGTAGCATGAAACTCATGAATTAACACAGGGATCAATGAGGAGGTGGAACTAAGCAAGTACCGGTTGTTATGAAAGAGGATGCCATCCTTCACAGAAATTGAATTATCAGCTCCATCACCAGTAATGAGCCTTTGATGACACTGCAACAAATAAGGGTCCTGCAAATTTTGTTTCCTGACTTCCTCAAGCATATTAAAAACCGGTTCTGAAACCAAGGCATGCAATCCACAATCCTCATGTACTCTTGAAAGAGCATTTGTAACAACATTGCTACTACCCACTTTATATTCGATTGTAAATGAGTAACCAAGTAACTTACAGAAATACTTTTGTTGCTCAGTCGTTTGAATAATCTGATTCAGTAATTCCTTGATGCTTTTATGATCGGTTCTTATCACAAAAGTTGATCCCAACAAGTATTGTCTCCAACGCTCGACAGCTGCCGTTATAGCATACAGCTCACGGACGTAGGTGGAAGAGTTAGCCATCCTTATTCCCAACTTCTTACTGAAAAAAGCTAGAGGTCTTTCCCGCTGCAAAAGCACTGCCCCTACTCCACTGTTGGAAGCGTATGTTTCTATAGCAAATGGAAGGGAAAAATCTGGTAAGACCAATACAGGGGTCCTACTCATAGTATCCTTCAATTGCTGGAAGGCCAGAGTTGCTGCATCTGTCCACAAAAACTCCTCTGAAGCTTTCAATAATTCTGTCAAAGGAGCAGCTAGCATGGCATAATTCCTTATGAAACGACGGTAATAGCCTGTAAGACCCAAGAATCCCCTCAACTTCTTCACATTAACAGGCAAGGGCCAATCTAACATGGCTTGGATTTTCTTCGGATCGGCATGCACTCCTTGGCTTGAGACAATATGACCCAAATACTCAATGGATTCAACCCCAAATGAGCACTTAGATAGCTTCACAAAAAATTTGTGCACCTGCAAACAATTCAATGCAATAGCCAAATGCTCAACATGCTCATCCATGGATCTACTGAAAATCAGTATACCATCAAAGAATACAATAATGAATTTGCACAAATGGGGTTTCAACAACTGATTCATTACTGCCTGGAAAGTGGCTGGAGCATTGGTCAAACCGAATGGCATGACTAAAAACTCATAATGTCCATCATGAGTTCTAAAAGCCGTTTTCTTAACATCTGGAGGCAGGACCCGAATCTGGTGATACCCAGCTCTCAAGTCCAATTTGCTAAAAATTCGTGCTCCTCCCAACTCATCGAATAGCTCATCGATGGTAGGAATTGGAAATCTATCTTTGACGGTTATGGCATTCAAAACCCTGTAGTCAATGCACATTCTCCAAGTATCATCTTTCTTGCGTACTAAAAGGATATGAGATGAAAAGGGGCTCTGAGAATGCTGTATGAACCCAGCTGAGATCAAATCAGATACCTGTCGTTCGATTTCAGCTTTCTGGTGATGACCATATCGATATGGTTTAACATTCACTGCCTTGGATCCTTCCACCAAATGGATAGCATGATCCCTTCCACGGAAAGAGGGAAGTTCATGTGGAATCTCAAACACCTCATGATATTGCCATAGAACATGCCACAACTGTGCAGGCATCCTCTCCTTAGCAGCCACCAATTCATTTTCGGATTCTAAGGAACAGCTCCCTGTGTGCTGCAACAATGCAAGGCAACTCAACTCCTTACCATTGTTATGGACCACCATCTCTTATGATGCAGGAGCACTCTTCAGTATTATGTGTTTCCCATGCCAAAGAAATTCCATCGAAGACTTCACATAATCGTGAGTGACCTTGCCAAGGGCCTCCAACCAAGGCATTCCCAAGACAATATTAAGGTCACATAGCTCCAGCACCCAAAAATCAATGAAGAATTCATGGCCTTGCAAATTAATTGCTACCTTGAGACATCTCCTATCAGTGGACAAAAACTCCCCATTACCTAGGAAAACCCGTATTTTTTTGGAACGAGTCATAGGCAAGTTTAAATCATAAGCAACTTCTCGTTTTAGGAAGTTATGAGTACTTCCCGAATCAATCAAAACAGGGAACTCACAACCCTTAATGAGTGCAATGAAGCCCAGGGAATGCGTGCCAGAATGATCAGCCAATGCATGTAAGGCACCCTCCTGAGGACTCTTAGCAGTATTATTCGTTTGCCACAAAATCTCCTCCTCTTCTTCTATCTCCTCGGGTCCTTCATCCATATCCCCCACCAACAAAAACAATCTATTCTTACACTTGTGCTTAGCATGCCATTTCTCTTCACAATAATAGCATATACCTAACTCCCTTTTCTTTTGCATGTCTGCATGAGAGTACCTCTTCATAGCGGTAGGAGCAGGTAAGGCCAACACTGGATTGGGAGCAGGCAATTGAGGCACCGTGGTTTTAGGAATTGTCAATTGGGAAACTGTGGAAGTGCTAGTAGTAGAAATGCCAGCTTCAGTAGAAGGACAAGTCCTTGAAAAGAACTTCTTACCACCCAAGGAAAAAGAAGCACGAAGCTCTGTATGGTGATCATCATAGGCCAATGCTTGTTGCATAGCTTGATGTAATGTCACTGGTGATCTAAGCTGGACAACACTTCTAAGCTCAGGTTGCAGGCTCGAAACAAAGAAACTCAGGTACAAATCATCATCAAGCCCTGGCACCTGATTGATCAGCATCTCAAATTGCTGTATGTAATCACGCAACGTACCTACTTGAGTCAGTTTGGAAAGAACTCCTTTCAAATTTGTAAAAGCAGAAGCACCGAAACGCTCACGCAGCAATCGTGTCAGTTCAATCCAGGAACGAATTAAGCCACTGTTGTACATCCATTGGTACCAGCCAGATGCCATGTCGTCCATGCGTAACCCTGCCATAGGTACCTTGAATTCCTCCGGAATTTGCTGAAGGACAAAGAATAATTCCGTTCAAAAAATCCAATTGTTAGGGTCCACACCACTGAACAATGGAATCTCCAAGCGAATCGCCTTGGAAATGTTCCTGCCATCCACATGTGGAGGAATTGGTGGAACGCGAACAGGAGGATCACGGTTGCGTGCATCCATGGCGAGAATTGTGGTGTTGAGTTGTTGCAATTGTGTAACCATTAATTGCATCTGATTCTGATAGTCATCCAAGCAAGTTTTCACTCGATAAAGCTGCGATTGATTGTCATGCAGCCTCGTATCAACACGTTGTTGAAAGGTGGTAAATTCCTCAGCAAGATCCTGAACGCGCATTTCGTCGAACATGTGGTGTTCAAATGAAAGCACCAGTTGTTAGGTTTCAGCCTAACAGAGAGACAGAGACAGAGGAGAGTAAAAAAGAAAGAACGAATTGAGAGTTTGTATATTCAGATGAAAAAAACGAAATGTTCAATACAACCTATATGTATACCTATTGTCCAATTACAAGCCACGTACAAGGCTGATAACAACCCCTCTCTCACTAACTAACATCTGTCCTCATTCACACTCATCATCTAATCGCACGACATGTGTCCCATACCTTCACTTTCAGTTAAGCCACGTACCCTTTCAATCTCACCGAATGCTTCCTTTCCCTTGTTGAAGCCCTCTTCGTAACAGTGTGACGCAATCACACTTAAGGTACGTGAGGTGTGAGCTATGATGGTGCCTCGGAGTGAAATTTTCAACAATGAAAGTCTAAAAGTCTAACTTTATAGATACAGAAAGTGACCCCTTTAATAGAACAAATATAACAAGTCCACAGCACCTCCCACATTACGAGAAAAGGACTCTTCACACTTCCACTGAAATTTTTTTATTTATTTTTTTATATTTTTACAAAGACACATTTTATTAGATTGATAATTTGATAGTTTTACCTTATTGCTATTTTTGGTAGCTCCTTTGTTAGTCTTCCTGTCTGCATCCTAATTACAATATAAGTACGAAAAATCAAAAGAAGAAATTAAGTATTAAAAATAAGAAATCCTATGGAATGGAGAAACCAACCAATTTTGCTTCAACTTCAGCCAATTCGTCCTCGTCCCTACCCAGCGAAATCAATAAAGCATGAGTAGCAAAATATCTACTCAGATGCAAACTAATGTTCATCACAAAAGAATCAGGAAATGAATGTGAGAGACAATAAAATCGTTACCCTTCTTCAAATATTGCATCTTTAAAGGACAATATTCCAAACCCAAAGAATAACAATGTTGTAATGTGATGAGTCCATTTACGAGAGACCTGCAGTATTTCGTGAAGATCACTAAAAATTTTATTAAATAAATGTTAGTGTCAATATTTTATTGGCCTGCGGCACCTAAAGCTGGTACGAATAGATTTGTACAAAACAAAAAGAGTTAGTTTGATATCATCTTAAAACTTGGTTAAAAAATTTAGGAATAAATTTTTATAATTTATACAAATCTAATACATTCATGATTTTTTGACACAAAGTCTACCTACCAATCCAATAATCAATGCGTAATGACTCGAATTACTAATTAAAGTGGTATTGGTTTGTTTTCTATTTTAATTTTCAGGTATTATATTTATATTAATAATTACGAAAATGTAACTATATTTTTATTCTGTTTTTTTATTTTTTTTCATGTCTTTCACAAAAATCTTAAAGTATAAAATAAAACAATCTACTAAAAAAGGTATAAAAAAAGTTTTAATGTTTCTGTTTTTGTTATAAATTTTTTTTTCTATCACACATATAAAAATGAAGGGTTTGCTTTTTCTGCAGTTACTGCAGATAAGTTATCTGCAATAAGCCTAACACGACATCGTTTTAAGACGGAAATCACGGTATTTTTTGTAATTTTAATTTATTTCAGGGTTATTATAGTCTTTATAATTATAATTTTTTAATATTTCAATTCCAAAACGACGTCATTTTGAGAATAAATGCAGATAATTTATCTGTATTAACTGCAGAAATATTTTTCTCAAAAATGAATGAGTCCTACCAATATCTTCTCTACACTCATTTTTAAGTGAGCGTGATGGATAATTTTTTTTTTCAGCAAAAACAAAAATATTTTTTTCCACAAAAAATTTTGTAGGAACCAAATTTATTTTCATATTAAAAAAAGGACAAGTATATAATATTAAAAAAAGTGTAGGAATTATTATATCTGTCAATAAATTGTTCTTGTTTTTTCTTAACATAACAACACATTTGGTTCCTACACTACAGATATAATTCCCTAGAATAAAACAAGATATGTATAATCACATATAAAAATATATTAATCGATAATGAACAAAGAAAAAACCAAAAACCACCTATGTTTCAAGGGTAATAAAGAATACGCACCACATTTGGAGCTGCCCAGCCGACAACAGCAGAGATAATCGTCATCACCTAGAATTCAAAATTTTCGGTGAGGTATGAGACCCAAAACTAAAAAGTCACGTAATAACAAGTTATTGTATCAAAAAAATAAATGAAGCAAAAAAGGAAAAGAAGAAAGTTCTTACAATCAAAGAACACAGGCAACCAGACAAGACAAGTCGTCGGGGATGTCGCATAGCCAGTATCTTGAAATAAGCATCATGAATTCATGGTCTTAGTCTCAGATACCAAAATAAAAATAAAAGTTTTGATTTCTATTCTCAAGACCCCACAGCCAAACTAGTATTAAGGGCTCTTTCTCTCTTTCTTTGGGAACACATGAATGAAAGAAATAAATATATCATTGAGCATGCATTTCAGTTTCAAATCCATTTTCATCGAAGATCTCTTCCAACGTATGTATATGCTGGTACCAGAGTAATTGAGAAATTTTCAATTAATAGAAAACACGATCGAATATTGATTGCCAAATAATTCATAAAATTCTTATTAAAATAAAAGTTAAGTGATCTATAATTCCTTATAATTTTTTTTATGATGCTCAAATAAATCATTAAACAGAAAAATATTTCTGCAGTTACTGCAGATAAGTTATCTGCATTTACTCTCAAAACGACGTCGTTTTGAGATTGAAATATTAAAAAATTATAATTATTAAGACTATAATAACCATGAAATAAATTAAAATTACAAAAATATCATGATTTTCGCTCAAAACAACATCATATTGGGCTTACTATTGCAGATAAGTTATCTGCATAACCGCAGAAAAAGCGAACCCATCATTAAATTTTAAAAATTTGTAATTGAGTGATTGTAGTTTTAAAAACTTTTAATTTTGTCTTTGTCAGCTTTAGCACTTTTATGAACGATAGTCTGGATTCAAAGATCTAAATTAAAACAAACAATTGTGTAGATCCAAGGTTAAAAAAAATTGAATCACAAACCTTAAAAATATAAAGACATTTAAATATTCCAATAAGTATTGTCTAATAGAAATTAATTTTAACCTTTAAAAAATTACAGTTCATTACTTACACAAATCTTGATTAAGAACCATCTCTACGTTCAGTAAAAATTCAATTGGAAACCTTTAAAATATAATTGAAGACATACTTAAATATTCCAATAAGTATTGGCTCCTAGAAATTAATTTTAACCTTTAAGAAATTACAATTCATTACTTCGACAAATCTTGATAAAAAATCATCTCAATCAAAAGTTCAAGCTGATAAGTGATGTATCCTTAATAATTTTATATTATTATTATTATTATTATTTTTTTGGAGTTACCCAACCCTAATTATCTCTTTGAGACGAGTTGGCTCCCTCCGGTATCCCCACGAGCTTCGACTCTTTGAGCTGGCTATGGACTAATCCGGAGTGCGAGGGAACAGTGATGGCTAAAGGTTCAGCCCCCTCCCCAAGAATGCATTCAGCGGGAATCGAACACATATCCAACCCCACTAACTCAGCGCCAAGTTACCAACTGAGCTGCACCCATATTATAACACTATGTAACACATCCCCTTCATTCAAGCGGTGAGAATCAAAATGTTTGTTAGTGATAGGCGTTTAATGTTTTAATATTTATTCTCTAACAAATCTAAACCAGTAGTTGCGCGGACAATAAAAAAGATTATGAAAAAGTGAAACCAATTTCTAATCCAGCATATACATCAACCTAACCTCTTCACCTACATAACCTGACCCACTAACTTAAAAGAACAATTTAGTGTGTTTTGCCTCATGTTTTTCAAAATTTTCAATATCATCAAAAGACTACCGTCACCTAGCTAGGCTACGATCCAATGAATACACTCACACACAAGCTTAAAATTTTAGACTATCAGTCAACTTTTACGCAAAATGAGATAAACTCCGCAAGCTAAGTTTAACTAACGGGCCAATTCAACACAAGTTTAACTTGATAAGTGAAATAGTTTTTATTTTTCTCCAAAAGAAGAAAAAGGAAAAGGAACATAAATAATTTCTTGGTATTTTAACACACACGTGGGTCCAGAGGGAGCATGTGGTGGAAGACCATCGTCAATAGGTTAAGGCCACACCAATCGTAATAAGTGAGTCTAACATTATGTCCTAATCCAAAATCTTAAGGTATTGGGTTCATTGGTTACTCTACTTATATACACTTTACTTAGTTTATTACCAACAAATGTGAGTCTCATCATACTTGAATAACCCAACAATCTTCGTGTGACACTCAACATTAGTATGCTCCCCTAGGTACTTAACCCACCTCCTAGCGGGTGAATAGGCTAGCTTAAGCCCAACACCATTGTTAGGCTGGTCGAGAGAGAACTTGTGGTGGTCGGGGACCATCACCAATAGGTTAAAGCCACATCAATCGTAGCAAGTGGATTCGACACCATATTTCAATCCAAAATCTTAAGGTATTGGGTTCATGGCTTTCCCTACTTATATACACTTCATTTAGTTTATTACCAATCAATACGAGACTCATCACAGTTAAATAACTCAAAACACCACACACACACACACAAAAGAGAGAGAGAGAGAGGAGACAAACTGCAGCTGCAAAAAAAGTATTATCCCCGATCTCAGAGAGCACGGTCATAACGAGAGACTTGGAGAAACCCTATAGTCAAAACAATAAATAAACGTTGAAACAATCCAAATTGGAAAACATAAGAAGTGAGAGGTGTAAAAAGCACCTGAGCTACTGATCCCATATTGAGTGAACGAAGAAGAAAATGCAGAGGAAACAGGAATGGAAGATATATAGAGAGACTAGAGAGAGAGTGTGTGTGTTTAGACTTTAGAGATCCTCTTTGTGTGTCCTCCTTCTCCGATATTCGGAACTGTGTTATGTACCTGATCCGTGCAGTTTGCACCACTCTTAATCCAACACTTAATAGCAAAACCTGTCTTAGTTGTGCCTACTATTATTATTACTTTTAATACTTTATTCTTACGTGCCTCCCATTAGAATCAATTCCCCATAGACGCTCTATAAAATATAAGAGATAGCGTTAATATAATATAAAACCCTAAACCCTAATACTATGTATCGGGTGATAAAGTAATATTTATTTAATAATTTTTTCTTATTTATCATTTAGGTTTATTGACTATCTATCCCAACTAATTTGAAATAAAAGTATTGTTGATCTTGATGATAATATTGACACTTTAATTTTTTTTTTAATTGTTTTAATATCAGTATTTTAAATAATAAAATAAAAAACATATTTTAACATATTTCCTTTATTTTATTTTTCTAATAAATAATGTAAAAATAACATAAATGTGCAAAAAAAAAAAACCAAAATTAGTGAGAAATATACATTTTTACGCACCTTTAGCGTAAGCTTTTTCTTCTGTACGGAGCAACTATTTTTTCTTCTTTACAAAAGATTGTCAACATTTGATGGACAATGATGGTTATCTAATTAGATATTTCAATGGAGGAAAAAAGCATGCATATATCTCCCGAAGGAAGAAAAGATATAAATCTTCGGAACCAAAAATGCCATTAATTAATACTTTTTTATAAAGTAAGTAAGACAATTCATTAACAGAATATAAAATTATTCTAATATTAATAAATCTTAAAATGTATATACTCACGAGGTAATCCATAAATTTACAAAAATCCAGATAAATAAATAAATAAAATTAAAAATTTATTTGATTCATTTTAAAAATTTCAAATCGTTAAGCTAGCTATCACATCACAGCTCTACATTTCTTAATACGCGTCACAGGATTAGCAAGTTATTGCAATTTTTAGATTATTAAAAAAATTAATTTAAATTAGCACGAGATTAATAATTTAAAAAAATATGGTGCAATATTTGAGTAGGCTTCTCTTAAGCATGACTTGGCATGGAAGATTAAACTTTTCTACCTAACTTTTTATAAAAAAGTTGTTATACTATAATGAATAAAATAAAGAAGATAAAGTAAGAAAATAAATTACACAAGTCAAATGCATAAAATAACTCTAATTAAGTTAAGAAAGAAATCAAAGTGTTTTGTATAAAGAATCATTTCAATTCAAAAATTAAAATTGTTAGGTGAAAATTATATTAATAATTTTATATTTCTCTCATGTTTTACTTATATTATTTTTTAGATTTATTTTATTTTATATTTTTTTCTTGTTTATTTTCCTAAATCTAATCTATTAGATTGTCAAAAAAAACTGGTCCAAAAATTTATTTTTTTATTATTTCTGATAAGCAACGTGCGTTCCGATTTCACAGCTTCACTCAAATGAAAGTCCAAGGCCCAAAAAGAAATGGATAAAATTAAACCTAGTAAAACGAATCTATTGGAGCTACGTACAGAGATAACCACAATGCACTTCCTTGCACTGCTGCGTACACACTCACCTTTTGAACTTCCGAGGACGAAGTTGACAGCGACGAGAGCACCAAAACAAGTTGGTTCGAGCTTTAGAGCCTATCGAGGGAGAAGAATTTTGGTGGTCTCGGATCACTATTAACTCAGTGGTCCAGATTAATCAAAATCAAATAATTATTAAAGAGAGAGAAGAGAGAAGAAATAAAAAAAAAATATTCAAGTATCATCTCTTAAATGGAAGGATCAGATGAAATCTGGAATATCAAAAATATTTCCCTCTCGAGGGCCTTTGACCTGTGTTATAGAAAAAAACGAACCTTTTTAAGCATAGAAAGACACCTTGATATTGCAGCCTTATTTGTTTGTCCCCTTTTTCCCATTTCTTTTTAAGTCCTCTCATCGAGTATTTAAAAATTTGGCCGACCATTAACCAGGGGGTTATGGGGTCATTTCCTGACCCGATTTTATACATTAAAAAATATAAATATATATACGAAAAATTCAATCCACCAATCATCAAAAATTCAAAATATATTTAACATAATTCAACAAATTACATCTACAAGTCAATATTACGCAAACTAGTCAAAGTATCAAACACATATTCCAAAAGGAGTTAATGAAAATTTATATCATCAAACTCAGACCCTTTTTGTCCTTCTCACGCACCTACAATAGCATGTGAAAGACGATTCCTTACCCAAGAGAGAATGGGGGAGGAGAGGCGGCAGCGCGGCGAATCAACAGTGGGGAGAGAGCCAACACATGGAGGAGAGGGAGAGAGAAGACCGAATATGATAGGAAGAACCACCACCATGGCAGAGGTGATCAGCGGATCAGAGAGACCGAGTCTGGGAGAGAAGCTCGGAAGAGAAAAAGAAGAACGATTCAGATTTCAAATCTAGTTCTAGATATAGGCAACGACTTTTTATTTTATTTTTTTTGTTTTCTGTACATATTAAACGACGTCTTTTCGTGTGTAAATTTAGAAAAAATGCAGTGACCCTCTTTGACCTGTGAGTCAGAGGGGTCAATGTGAATGCAAGGTCTAACTGTTGACCCCAACCCTCAAAGAGAAGGGGTCGACCCCAGGTAGAGTGGGGTTTTAAAACACCGCTATCATCACTACATTAAAATTCGTAGTTTTCTTCGTTGTTAAAACCTACTAACCCAACATTGAGTTCAATTTGTTGTTATCACACATGAAAAATCCCCAAAATTCACAAACCCATTTGAAATATGGAGTAAGGCTCCTAGATCATCGTCTTACAGGAGGGTATAGTAAAATGAGCTATATAATAAAGTTCTACCATCAAAATTTAAAAAGGGACAAATAGTGACTTGTAATGTAGAATCCTCTATAATCTTTGACTTTAACAAATTGTAATATCTAGACATTCTTCCAAATTATTTTAAGATAATGAATATTGATCTGTACAAGAACTATGGACCATTGAAGTCTACGAAATTAAGGTAAGAACCAATTATAAGACCAAGCTCATTAAACTCAAATCAAGCTTTAATTAGTAAAAGACGCATAAGATATAAGTATACACCATTCCATGGATTATTCACCATCTTAAATTTAATCACCACCCAGCAAATGATTGAATGGCGAAGATATATTTTCAGCTAAACCTCAGTAATGTAACTTACCAAGAGGTATATCATGTAGAGAAATAGACTATGAAAGCCGATTTAATGGACCAATGAGAAGGCATATCAATTAAATCGCCACACAAAGACAATCTATTGAGCTTACTAGTAGGTCATGTCGCACTTTATAAAAAGAGAGACTAAAACCTAGGTTCATTCATCTTCTCCATTTTACTTAAGTTCATTTACTCACTTGCTCACTTGAGTATCGGAGTGTCTTGCAAATACACATCTTATCCTTTTCTAGTCAAATCAATTACTTGCAGCATCCAAACAGTCTAATCATTGGCGCCATTTGTGGGACTTAAATTTCTAAACCCCCCAACTAAAAACATGATTGATATCAGGAGTAAGATGTCAAAATCCTAGAACCACCAAGGAGAGGGCGTAGGAACATTTGTCACCCCTTCTCCTCCACAACAGAATAACCAAACCCCTTATCAAGAACTTATAACCACAAACCTCCAGATCTTAAAATACTCAAATCGCAAAACCAAAAAATGGAAAAGCAAGAACGTGAGTTGCTAGAATTAAAGAAACTCCAACAACAAGTAACAAAAGGATGACAATCCTATCTCATGGAATGTACAAGGCAAAATGGCAACCACCAATCCCTCCACAATGTAAACAAGTGCAATCAAAGAAACAACCATCCTTCCAAGAAAACAAGGAACACATGTTCCAAAATTTACCTTCATCCTATAGCCACATATTACATCTTGCAAAGAAACCCAACTTACTTCCTAAACCTCCAAGACAAAAAAACAAGGCCAAGAGTTGTTCACCCTTTCATCATCAAAATAATGGCCACAAACATGCCAAAGGATATCAAACTTGACACATAGAAGTTTTATGGAAAAGGGGACCTACAAGAACATCTTGAACAATTCCAAACGAATATGATGGCTAAACTCCATCAGCTGCAGATTATTTCCAACCACTCTCAAGGAAGTTGTCCTATCATAGTATTCATCTCTTCCCCCAAACTCAATTCGAGACTGGGAGGACCTTACAAATAAATTTCTTATAATATTTACTACCAACAAGGCACAATACTAATCCATTTATACCCTGAAAATTGTCAGACAAGGATCCCACGATTTTTTGCTAAATTATTTAAAATGATTCTTTAATGAAGCACTACTGGTAAAAGATCTTGACCTAAAAATTTCATTACATTTGATTATAGATGGTCTCCAATGTGTTCCTTTTTCCACCTCTATTGTGAAATAAAAAATCAAAGACCGCTGGAGAACTTAGGGCACGCTCTAATATGTACATTAATCTCGAGGACTATGAAAGATTCAGCGTTGATGTTGGAACCAAACGAATGATGTCGATGAAAGGAAAGACATCAAGCCATAATGAAAGTTCAAGGAATACACTCCATTAAATACTTCATGATCTTATATCCTCAAGGAAGTGGTCCACGCAAAGTTTGTTCCATTCCATTCCAGACATGTATTAGAGGGGGTTCTGTGTACTTGTAAGCAATGTTTTAAAACTCGGACCGGTCATCGAACCGGTCGAGGTACTGGGTCACTGGTTCAACCGGGTTGAACCGGTTTTACTGTTCACATATTAAAAATATAAAAATATTACTTATATTAATAAAAATTCACATAAGAAAACTATCTATGAGCTTCAAAAAATAAATTGGTTTTCAATGATAGCAAATATTATATACTTCTAAGCTTCTAGGTCTAGACCGTTGAGATGAGATCATGAGACCATCAGTGTTTATCACCACTTAACTTCATGAGATCATTATAAGATGCAACTAAATTACATAAACGAACTACACTAATCTAAAATACCTTATTATTTTCACCTTACTTTTAATCATATTCATCATAAAATATGAATATGATTTAATTCAAGAGTTCTTATCAACAAAAAAAAAATTACCAAAAAGAAAAAAATAGAGGAAAAAACCGGTTTAACCCGAGTCAACCGGGTCGCCGGGTTTCGGCCGGGTCAACCGGTCCAATCCGGGCTGACTGCATAACCGGTCTAACTACCCGCTCGGACCGGGGAACCCATCGGATCACCGAGTCCCGGGTCGACCCGGCCGGTCCGAGCCGAGTTTAAAAACACTGCTTGTAAGGACTCCAATGCTCAAGTCAATGTATGATTGAGGTGAGTTTTCATTAGAGGAAGGCGCCTACCTAATGACAAAGGCCTTATATTTTTAGGTAGGTTGCAAACACTATTGTAGGGCATATAAACCTCTACTTTAGAGAATAGGGTTTAACCTTCTATGGGTAGTGTGTCAGTGAAGCCTTGCTTTTGTGTAGGTTTGTTCACTATTGCAACACTCTGCTTCAAGTGTCACGTGAAGTTTGAAGAAAGAAGGATACGCTCTGGGATAACTCTAGCTAAAAAATTGAAAACATAATCACAAACATATCCCCTAAAGAAGGGCACACACTTAAAACAAAGTCAACAGATCCTAAGGAGGAAAGTTGGGACACTTAAAGCATTAGGCCAAGGCATAAAGCCCTCAACCTTATGCCATGAAAAAAGGCATCAACCCTCGGATCAACCAAACTAGGGGTCGAAATGTACTTACATCACGACATTTCTGCAAGCAAAGTACCACGTTAATAGGAAACTTCTCTGAACCAAATACATGATCCAATGGGTCAACACGTTGAAATTGGTTCAAAACTTACCTCCTAACCATGCTATGTAGGCTAGTAACTACAAACTATGTGTGTCGCTTGACTCTTGACATTATGGTAAAGTATATACTTGCACAAAAACAAAGTTTCGCCAATGCGCTACCTATTGAAGGCTACACCCTACCCTAATAGGCTCGCATGCCCCCACGCAAACTCTACCTCACTAATACATTTACTGTAGCATAAGAGTTTTCGTCGGTGTAAATCACCCCTTGCTTGTTGGATGCTGGTTGCTACTGCTCAAATATCTGCCAACAAAAGAATTTTCCAAACAAGCCACATACTGCTACACCACATGAAGGTTAAGAAGACCTTAACAATAACTTTCGCTAGTCTCTTACAACCGCATAGAAGCTCAACGAAATGTTGGTAGTGCTTTGCATCCTTGGATGGAAAATCACGTGATCATCTTTGGGTCACAATCTAGAGGTGGCAAAACGGGTCGGCCCGTCCTGACCCACCTCATACCGCCACCAACCTGCCAATAACAGGTTAGCCTGCCCCGCCCCGCCTCTTGAATGTGGGTTGAAAAGCCTAACACGCCCCGTTTTTTGGTAGTTTGACGGGTCAACTTGCCTAAAAAATAAAAATAAATTAAAAATTAAAATTAAACTATATTTTATGAATTTTATAATATTACTTATTTTCATTTCACACTCCCCTTAGTTTTTTTCCAATCTCAAGTATAAATATATGTTAATATTGAGTCAGACATTCTTTAATAACTTATTTTTGCTTATATATATGGATAACCTTTGTCATAAATAAAGTTTTTCTTCTTTATTTTTTCTAGGGGAGTACTAAAATAAAAAAAATTGGATATCACAAAAGCTTAATGACAAATAAAATAGTACCTAGTAAAAAAAAATTAACCCGACGGACTAACCCTCCTCGACCTACCGCTAATCCGTTTTGACCCAAAAACTGATGGGGCGGGTTAAGACAAGTTGGTGAATTGAGATGTGTAATTCAACCTCCCCCGTTTTAACATGTTGATGGATTGACTTGATGAATTCAACCATATTGCCGTCACACCAAAACATTGGCCTTGTTATTCTACATTGGACGAATTGTTTTATATAAAACTGATAAAAGTAATTTTTATTTTTATCTTTCTTTTTAAAAAAAGTCACTGTATTAAAAAAAACGTAAATAAACTAAATAAATTTTTTTTTTTATAATTATCAATAAAAGTAAAGCCTACAAAAAAAAAAAAAAACAGAAAATGCGTGAGCAAAAAGCAATAGCTTGTAACGAAAAAAAAAGTAATAGCTTGGTCATGATAGCAACTATAAGGCCTCACAAATTCAATTCCCGCTTTTTGTCCCACAAATATGCAACATCATGAGTAGTCTACGGAAGTCCCAATCCCCTTATCATTGTTCTTACATCCCATCTCTTATAAAATCTATCTAATTTGGGTCAACCAAAACGATTTTTTTGACTATTACTTACTAATATGATATTGTTATGTTAAAGAAAAAACCAAAGTAAATTAAATAAGTTTTTCATAATTTAGAAAATTTTATATACAACATAATAAATCTTATTATAATCATGTGTATATATATTAATAGAGTTTTATAAGAGTTATGTTGTAGGAAAAGTGATTGTGTAATGTTATAGAAATTCATTTTGCGTGCCATAGTTTTTTTTTCTTTAAAAAGTATGGGCCCCACAAAATGTTGTGTGTGTAGAAAAAAAATTTTAGTCATGTTAAAGGACAAACTAAAATCCCATATTAATAATATAAGATTATTGTGTTAATAAGTAAATGTTTTAAATATAAAACAAAAATGGATTAAAAAAAAAACAGATACTTTCGGAGAAGCATCGTACCACACAAGGCACCCTTATCCCAAAAAAGCCCATATTTAAGTCCCACAAGCTCTCATTACAAGTTCCTTTCCGCTTTCCCAAGAACAATAATACTAGTTTTACCAACGAGAAAAGGAAGATTGAAGAAAGACAGATAATCAGTCATAACTACAAAGGAATAAATCATACATTAACCACAAAATGCAAAGGTTATGAAACTCACTTGTTGCAACGATAAAATATGCTATATGCAAAAAGCTTCCCCCACATAAAATAACTTCAAAGCACACAAACCCCTCATCCAAAGCTTCTCTCTTTGTTCCTCTGCTTTGTTATCTGTCCCCCCACATCCAATGCCCGGTGAGCTTGACGTGATGCACTGTAAATGCTGCTTCTTCGTACTGGTCCCCTTTCCATAGCTTCGTAAATAAAAACCCCACATTCTCATTCTCATTCTCAACCCACATTCATTCATTCGCTTAGGAACTTGAGTGCCAGAACAAATGGGACCTCTCACTTCACTTATTCTTTCTCTCTTCCTATTCTGTTCCTTCTCATTAACACACTCTCGAACCACACCCCAGGGACCCAAAACGACAGTGCTCGACGTCGCTTCCTCACTTCAAAACGCACACAAAGTCCTCACATTGAACCACCAACTACGACACCACCAACAACTTTCGCTATCGTCGTTTACCCTTCAACTGCATTCTCGAGTTTCCATTCAAAAACCCTCAAACACTGACTACAAGTCCCTGACCCTATTGCGACTCGAGCGTGACTCAGCCCGAGTCAGGTCCTTGCAAACTCGCCTGGATCTAGCGTTAAAGCGCATCTCCGAATCGGACCTTCACCCAGCCGAGTCAGGGAACGAGTTCCAATCTGAAGAACTACAAGGACCTATCGTTTCTGGAACGAGTCAGGGAAGCGGCGAGTACTTCCTCCGACTCGGAATCGGAAAACCGCCGTCTCCGGCATACGTCGTTCTCGACACCGGCAGCGACGTCAGCTGGATCCAGTGCGCTCCCTGCGCCGACTGCTACCAGCAATCCGACCCGATTTTCGACCCGAATTCGTCTGATTCGTACTCTCCGATCCACTGCGACGCGCCGCAGTGTAAGTCACTGGACCTCTCCGAGTGCCGCAACGGGACCTGCCTCTACGAGGTTTCTTACGGCGACGGATCTTACACCGTCGGCGAGTTCGCGACGGAGACTGTGTCTTTTGGTTCGGCTTCGGTCGACGGCGTCGCCATCGGCTGTGGCCACAACAACGAAGGATTGTTCGTTGGCGCCGCCGGCTTGCTAGGACTCGGCGGTGGCTCGCTTTCGTTCCCTGCTCAGCTCAATGCCACATCATTCTCCTACTGTCTTGTGGACCGCGACTCTGACTCGGCCTCGACGCTCGAGTTTGACTCGCCGTTACCGCGTAACACCGTCTCCGCGCCGTTACGGCGGAATCCTCAGCTGGACACGTTTTACTATCTCGGCATGACGGGACTCAGCGTCGGCGGGGAGTTGCTTCCGATTCCTGAGACGAGTTTTGCTGTTGACTCCGGTGGTGGCGGCGGGATTATTGTTGATTCCGGAACGGCCGTGACTCGGTTGAGGAGCGAGGTGTACGACGAACTCCGTGATGCGTTTGTTAGGGGAACGCGAGGGCTCCCGGCGGCAAACGGTGTGTCGTTGTTTGACACGTGCTACGACCTGTCATCGAGGTCTAGCGTGGAGGTTCCGACGGTGTCGTTTCACTTTCCCGACGGTAAGGAGTTACCGTTACCGGCGAAGAATTACCTGATACCGGTTGACTCGGTGGGGACATTTTGTTTCGCTTTCGCGCCCACGACGTCTTCGTTGTCAATCATTGGGAACGTGCAGCAGCAGGGGACACGTGTCGGTTTCGATATCGCTAACTCACTCATAGGATTCTCTTCCAATAGCTGCTAAGCGTGGTAGATGAAAAACATTCGAAGCTCGTGCTTTTTTTTATATCTATTTTCATTTAATTTTATGTATGTTGTTATTGATTTTCATTTTTATATTTTTTTACTTTGTTACCCCTGGTTACCAGGAGCTTCTTTTTACAATTGTACGTGCGGTCCCATTCGGATAAGGTGGTAATGTAAGTTGGACCAGCTGAATGGCGTTATAGAGTAATAATAGTGTCTGTGGTGATGAACTTTGTTGCCAACTTGGGACATGAATATACAACAGATGGTAGTAAATGGTAGTTTTATCACTTTATGGATATTATGGGGATGGTAGATGAATGGTTAGTTTCTCTATTACTACTTACTACTACTCTACGGTTTCCCATCTTTGGGACCAAACAAAACTGCTTCATTAATGACAAATCTAATGTGATAATATTTTTATTTTATTTTTGGAAATACAAGGAAAATTAAATAAAACAATTAAAGACACAATCTGGGCATAGCCACGCCAACAACATCATCTCTCAAAACGGATTCGCAATAATTTGGAGGAGTTGTAAATTCTTGCAAATCTCAACCAAAGGAATGAGCATGACCAGCTAAAGCATCCGCAAGACGATTTCCTTCCATGTAAGCATGGGAAACATGAACAAGCCAGTCCTTTTGCATGTAATGACGAATCTGATGACCCAAAGTAGCCAGAGGGTGTTCCTGATTACAGTCTTTGTTGATAAAATCAATAGCGATCAGCGAGTCTCCTTCCAACCACACTCTTCGATAATTTCTTCTCCAAGCTATCTGAAGTCCTAGAAGGCAACCCCAAAGTTCTGCTGTAAGAGAATTACCCCAACCAAGGTATTTTGAGAAGCCAACAATCCAACTCCCAGTATCATCCCTAAGAACACCTCCACACCCAGTACGCATTCCTCCCATTGTACAAGACCCATCTACATTGATCTTTATCCAACCATCTGGAGGAAAGGTCCAGCGAATATATCGCTCCTCTTTATTCCTTCGATGAACCAGAAGATACAAAAAGAACTCTAGACTGCAACACATAATCATGGTAACACCAAATCTGTCGAACAATGCTATAAGCATTAGCCTGAGATCCTTCAAAAATCATTTTGTTTCTGGTATTCCAAATGAACCAACAAGCAATACCAAAAATCAAAGGCCACTCCCGATTATCTCCCATATCACCAACCACGAGGTTTGACTGCAACCAATCATTGAAACACTGGGAGAAAAAATTCCTTTGCTTTACCTGCAAAACAAGAAGTTTCCAAACATCTCTAGAAATATGACAATCACGAATAGCATGTATGGAATTCTCCTCTGAAACTAAACATCTGGAACACATGTTTGAATCAGCCATATGCCTCTGAACACGCTTCACATTAGTCAAGAGCTTATCCCCAACAAAAAGCCAAAGAAAGCAACGGATCTTCTCAGGACTAGGCCATTTCCAAATTTTGTCCCAAGGAAATACATTATCTACCACTTCCGTTTGTGCAATGAGAGAGTAAGCTGTCTTCACTGAAAACTTATCGTCGCTAGTCCCTGTCCAAATCACTCTATCTGGACCACCTTGTAAGAAAGGAGGCACAAGGTTTTGAACTTTTTGCAAAACTGAGCTAGGCAGCAGGTGCTGAAATAAATTCCAGTTCCAACTCCCTTGACTAGTTACACATCCAGCTACCGTCCATGAAAGACAATCTTCAGGAATCGGATGCACCGTAAGCTGGGAAAGAGGAGTACAATTAGGAACCCAACGATCATTCCAAAAAGACGTGTTCTGTCCATTTCCAAGAAGAACTCGAGAATTATCCACCACAGGCTGCCAAACTCGAGCTACTCCTTTCCACAGATTCGATCCAGTTCTAGAGACTCTTACATTTGGGAACAACTGGGTGCCCACTTTGTATTTATTTTTTAGAACTTTACACCACAAAGCTTCAGTATCAGTCATCAACCCATGAGCCACTTTCATAATCATAGCTTTGTTCATCCCTTTCAATTGTCTAATTCCTAGACCACCGTCCTGCTTCTTCCTACATAAGGTATCCCAGGAGACTAAATGAGTCTTCTTACAATCTACTGTATCTCCCCATATGAAACTCCTAGTTTTACGCTCCATGTCATCACAAGTAGTTTTAGGGATTATGGAAGTTTGCATCGGATATAAAGGGATTGTAGAAAGCACTGAATTTGCCAAAGTCACCCTACCAGCAAGAGATAAATTTGATTGCTTCCAAGAATTTAATCTTCTGTTAATTCTATCCAACACATAGCTAAAAGACCTTTTCCCAATTCTTCTGTGATGAAACGGGATACCCAAGTATTGCCCTAAATCAGATGTTAAGGCAAAACCCATCTGATCACTGATTTCCTGAGCACGACTGTGATGGACATTATTAGAAAAAAAGATCTTACTCTTGTTACTGCTTACCCTCTGACCCGAAGCTTTACAAAAGCTGTCTAAGACTTTCGAAATTAGACCAGCTTGCTCAGTTGAAGCTTCTGCAAAAATTAACAAATCATCTGCAAAAAATAGATGTGATATAGGGGGGCCATTTCTCTTAAGGACAATAGGCTTCCAACCTGCATGGGATATAGCAGCATTAATAAGATGACCAAGCCTCTCAATACATAACACAAAGAGATATGGAGAAAGAGGATCCCCCTGGCGAATCCCTCTCGTAGGATAAAATTCCTTAGTGGTGGACCTATTCCAAAGGATGTTCATAGAACAAGTCGAAACACAGCTCATGATAAGATGAATGAGATTGGTTGGAAACTTAAGATCATGAAGAGTATTTTCTAAAAAATCTCATCTTAGTCTATCATAAGCTTTTTCCAAGTCAATTTTGACAGTCATCCATCCTTGCTTGCCTTTCTTTGTACCCATCGAATGAATAATCTCTTGGGCAACAATGATATTATCAGATTTTGCATAGGCACAAGATAATAACGTCTTTCACGTATTAGATTTTGATTAGAGTTTGATTTATTACTGTATAGGTATTTAACACATCGTTAAATGAGCATCGTTATAATATTTTTTCTTAGTGAGATGTCAAGGAATGATTTCATTGCAGTTTTGGTATAGGTTTATTAAAAGGCACTCATGTTGCTATATGATATTTTAAGTTTTTAGGATAAATTTCATCACAATTTTAATACTTTTTTTAGTTTTATATATAGTTAATTAAAATTAAACTCTAATATATGTATGATTATTTATATTATGATCATAATGTTTTAGCTCAGATCGATAATCTGTTGGATTGTGATAAATGTATTATTTTTACTCATGAGATGAGGAGAAAAGGTAGGGATGGATTTGACTTATGTGCAAAATATGTGATGTATTAACACGTAATACTATTTAAAGTTTAAACTTGAATAAGGGAAGAGTATATTACTTTGGTCCCTTTATACACGGAGAGAGAAGTTAGTCAACGGCTAAAATGATTGCAACAAACATATAAAGAATAAGGTTATAACTTGAAAACAGTTTGAAAAGGAGTTGCTCTCGAGCTTGGAGCCTACTGATTCTGAAAACTATGATGAACACAATTCAAGCAAGCTAGGTCCTTAATAAGAGACTATCAGAAGGAATTATAGAGATTGGCTAAATAGGGTGTTAAGTTAGCCCCAAAAGGATTTCATAAGAGGATTAGGACTTGTTATACACCAGAATATAAGATCCATATCCCAATAACCTAACAGCTTATTAGTGATGAATAGGATGCTTAAAGACTTGATCCTAAGATAAAACTTCATAACAATCTCATAACAGACTAAGTAGAGGCCCAACCAAGTAACTCTTTTATAAATAAGAGTTGCACTCATTAGATACATACTTTTTAGACCTCGTCTTTACTTTGCTATTACTGTGCACACACCATACATCTTGGTTAACGCCATATCATTTAGTGTACAATGATCCATACACTCTTGTGGTATCTCTCCTATAGATATCCGTAAACAAACAGATCCCACATTGAGCTATCACCCATCGGGTGAACATTTATGATCTAGCCGAACAAACCTAAAGTTGTCTCATGTATAGCTGACTTAGTTCCATCCAACCACATCTTGGCAATTATAAATTCAAATCTTGCGATTACTTTACTATGTTTTTCCAGTTTTATTGAAATATCTAGTGAGGTCATTTAGATTTTCAATCAATTATTCTGAGGGTGTGCCAAATATTCGGAGGTGAACATCAATGTCTAGCTAAAGATGTAGTGATTGTATCCATGGAGCTAATGGAAAAGATAGCTAGCAATGAAGAGTCCAGTATCCCAAGTCAAGGTCCGATGATATGAATAAAGGGTGTGTGTGTGAGTCACCTGCTTAGTAAATAGGGTGTACTTTAGGCACAAGCCTTGTGAAACTGAGATCACTGAAGAACTTGTGGCCTCCTTTGCTATAGGGTGCCATATATAGATGGAGTGTATTAGCAGTTGGGGAAGTTGTGCATATAATAGATGGTTTTGCATGTGACTTGGTGGTGTCATACAATACATAATTGGTGGTTATATGTAGTGGGGGGAAGTTGAGAGAGAGAGAGAGAGAGTTGGGGACTGAGATGGGGATAGGAAGTGGGGACAATTTAATTGGTCCATAACAAAATTAAATTTAAATATTTTTCATTTTTCATATTTTTCTATTTGCTTTATTAGGTACTATTTTTTTGTTAGATTTTGTAATTATTTAAAAAAAAAATTAGCATGAAATATAAACTTTATAATTCAAGCGGTTCAACCAATGACTTACCTGTTGAACTAATGATCTCATACCCAAATCGAGTCAATAATTGGGTTGGGTTTTATAATATCAGTTAAAGTAGTTCAGTTCTTGAATTAGTTCGAAGAAAATTGTTTAGCTCTCAAATTAGTTTGAAAAAATACGATTCTTTTAATGCAGTTAGAATTAATTCATGGTTCGGTTTGATTCATTTGATTTTTTTGTGTACCCTTAAAAGGAATAAGTAAACTAGTTCAAATTATTATTTTCTTTTTCTCTATGGTTACCTCTTTATTTTTGTCTTTCTACTTCATTTCGTGGTCTTAAATTTTCTCCCGTTGCATTTTGGTATAAAAAAAATTTGTGTGAGGAATTTATTGTTATCATCAATATACTCTTATTTAAATGTTAATAGTTTTGACCAAAAAAAAATACTCTCAGTTAAAAATTTAATAAATTTAAATGAATACAATTATCCATCCCCCCCCCCCCCCCCCCCCCCCTCCTTGCTCCAATAAACCAATCTAATCAAGTCGAGCGCATTACATACTTCCAACCAAAATTGGGCCTACAACATCCATAACTGGCCCAATCAACACACCAGCCACCACCTTAGCTAGTTGGACCATGTAAGGCACCTTTCGAACTATTAGGATTGAGCACACCTACTCTGGTTCGCATGGATTTATCATTTATGCTTTCAAACTTTAATTGGAGAGGGAGGCCTTGTGTTATGAAGGGGACACTCCTAGCAACATCAAAGAGATTTTCGAAGCTGGCATGTCATGAGAATCTTTAAGTGGAACTAAAAAAAAAAAAAGAGGATGGTAACAATTCATCTTATCGGTTTTTAGGAATCAATTGTGGTTTACCGGAAGTAGAACTTGCGACCAAAATGTTTGTTTTGGTATAGTCACGTGTTTTTTTTTTCTTTTAATGAAAAGTGTCCTTAGCAAAGTAATGTTAATTTTGGGGATGATGAGATTTTTTGGAAATGGAAATTGTACTTGGCAACAAATGTGGTACTTAATGATTCGGTCAACTTATTGTAGCCAATTCTAATTTAAAACAATGGAATACAAACATCACTTTTGAGTTTTTTTTTTTTTTTTGTTCTTAAGATTTTTTGGCATTTAAGTTACTTAATTTGATATGGTACACATATATCGCACAAACATGTCTATTTTATTGCTTAATTCAAATTGTTACAAAATTTCTAACTTACAAAATCACCATTACATTCCCCTACTCCAACAAAATAGAGCAAAAAAGCACCCCCATGGACAACAAAAATGAGTCAAACTATTTCTTAATACACAACATAAACAAAACAGCGACCAATTACTATTAAAAAAAAATATACATTGCAATTTCAACTAGGAGTGTTCATCAACCGATCCAAATCGATTCAAACTGCAGTGACCGAATCGGAAAATCGAAAATCGAATAAATCGAAAATCGAAAAAAAATCGCAAATTTTAATTGAATTGGATCAGTTTTTGGATTTGTAGATGAACACCAATCCAATCCAAACCAATCCAATATATTAATTTTCCTATACCTACTTAGGTCTTTCCCAATCATAGCCTAAAAATTTTTAAATCCAAGACCTATTAACCCATTAACTAAACTCAAGAAAAAACTAATCACATCTCATTAACAAAATATTTCATCTATATTGAGCTTCATATCTCATTGTGCAAAAAAAATAAACCTATATTATCGTTTACTGATGCATGCTTTTGTATTTAAAAAAAATAAAATTACAAAGCCAATATATACTAAAGATGTTATTTGCACAATAATCATGAAACAAATTTTAAGATTTTCAAAAAACCGAAAACCGATCCAATCCAAACCGAAAAAAATTGGATTAGATCGGATGATTTTTGCTTCCAAAACCGATCCAATCCAGACCGCGAACAGATTTCAACTTCGAATTAGAAATAGCCACAATCTAACTCCTCCCTTTGCAACCGCACATTATCATTCAAACATTTCCTTAACAATGCATTCAATTAGAGATTGATACAAGTAAGAGCCTATTTTATATATATAAAAAGTTCATGCCACTTTTCATTCACTGCTTGCATGTGATCATTGATAATCTCCTCTTACAACCACACACAGTGATTGCAGACTTAGGTGTCTTCATCATGTTAGGGCTAGGATTACCAAGCTTTGTGAACAATAGGGTGGGGTTCCCCTCTCCCATTAATGCAATTATAGCCAAACTCAAATTGATATTGCTTCACATGTGCATTTTACATGCCGAATAAGCTTTCCGTTACGACTTTTAACGAATAGAAATAAGGATTAGGTTAACTAAAAAAAAATAAAAGAAAAAAAGGATTAGGTTGTTAATAATTATAAGAATTCAATGTCTATTTTGCGCACAATGAAACAACAAGTGGCTAAATGCACACAAAGTATCTCATGTAAAGAGAAGTCATCTGCAACTGCAACTGACATATATTTTTCTTTCCAAAAGCTGAAGAGACCTATTTCTCTTATTATAAAAAGAAAAAACTTAAATGGCGTGAATTGAAAAGTGAGAACAATATCATTACCAAAGCCAATCTTGCGCGCTAAAAGTTTCTCTCTTTGCACTCTTTTTCGTGGATATTCACGTGCAAACTAGCTGGCTTTCAACAATGCAAGTTTAATTTAGTGTGCCCACATTATGTTTCCTTTTGAACTTTCTGAGCAATTTCAATTCAATTCAGTGTTCATCGAAAGGTCTAGCCACGACTTTAATAACGGAGTATCCTTTCCTTGCCCTTTAATGAAACACAAAAGAAGACTGAAGCGATTGAGTTTGATATTGAAAAAGAGTTGTAATCACTATTTTAAAACTCGGACGGGTTAATGAACCGATCGAGTTCTTATCAACAAAAAAAGAAAAAACCAGTTTAATCCGAGTCAATCGGATCGTCGGGTTTCAGCCGGGTCAACCGATCCAATCCGGACTGACTACTTAACCGGTCTAACTACTCGCTCGGACCGGAAAATCCACCGGATCACCGAGTCACGGGTCAACCCGACAGGTCCGAGCCAGATTTTAAAACATAATAGTCTGGCTTTGTAAAACTCAGGTTAATTGCTTCACTTTCAATAACAAATATCATTTTTATATTTCATATAGAAGAAGAATATTGGGACAAAAAAAGAAGAAGAAAAGGTATTAGAACTAAGCAAAACTTAGAGCATGTTTGGATCCTCTTATTTTTAAGCTAGAAGCTACTTATAAGCTAAAGCTAAAAAAAAGAGCTTAAAAAAATAAGTTAAAAGCTGTTTGGAAATTACATAAAAGTTTTAGCTTAAAAATTACTTAAAAGCACATATTTCAAGAAAATTATCTTTCTCTCTATCTTTATCACTCTTCATTTAAAAAAAAAAGCACACAATTCAAGAAAAACAGATAAGAGCTTAAAAAAAAGCTCCTCCTAGGAGCTTTTAATTTTCAGCTTTTTTCTTCATTATAAAAAAAAGAGCTTTTCGTTATAAGAGCTTTTCCCAAAATCTGTTTGGCCTAGCTTATGCTTATAAGTAGCTTCTAGCTTAAAAATAAGAGGATCCAAACAGGCACCAAATTAGCTCGGAATAGTGATGAAGCGATAAAAGGGTTAGGGGACAATAATTTCCCTTTAAATTTATGGATTTTATTAATCTCATGTTAAAGTAGATAGTTATCTTATGTCATAGAGACAAACTAGTAGGTTCCACCACCTGAAAAAATAAAATAATAAAATAAAAGAAAAAAATGACACAGTTATCGAAGGGTGTGTGTAGAAAAGAAAACTTATTTCATGTGACATAAGAATAGTTTTTCCTTAAATTTATATAAGCTTTTATATTGAACACAATTTATGACTTTTTTTGTTATATATTTAGTAATTATTATTCTCAAAATTTATAGAGATCTTTAGATATAAATATTATATATATATATATATTTTTATCATATACATAATTATAACTTCAAAGAAAAATATATGTTACAATTTTGTCGCATTCACAAAATTTTCTAACGACACTATCACCCGTGAAAGATATGAAAGATTAAAATGAGTGCAAATGAATGTCAAAATGTTTTTATATGGCTAGTGATTGAAAATTAAGTCCTTTGTCTCTTATGGTAAAAAACAAATAATTTTAAAAGTAAATGTATTGAATTTAAGCGCATCGATTAAAAAAATTTAAATTTAATTTCTGTAACCAATTTTAAATAATTTATTTATAACAATCAATATAGACTATCAGCCCTAAAAACATCCTTTCTTCTATGATTTTTGTTTAAGGAAATGTTGATCAATGGATAAATGTACTGAAGAATGAAGATATCAAAGAGATAATTAAGTGAACTTATTTGAAATGTATAGTCAAATAAGTTATTTTTAAATAATATTAATTTTTCTGAACTTATTTTTAAAATAATTTTTTTTAAAAGAAGAATACGATTTATTTGAAATGTTTGACACTTTGAAAATGAAAGATAGCTATTTCGGTTTTCTTATCTTAATTCTGGTTAATTAAGCGACAAATGTCTGAGATTTAGTTAACAACAATGAGTAGTTCTACCAAAACAACTATGCATAGCACTGCCGTCCCAATAATTTCACAAGAGAGCCCAATTATGAAACGTGCCTACTTTACAATCATGGCGCGTGGCACCACCGAAAACTACCGTCTCTGTCTCTCTCTCTTTCATAGTTGCAATTGCATCAACCGCAGGGAAGTATCCTTAAACACTGAAAATTCCAACACCATTTCTCTCTCTCTCTCTCTCTCTCTCTCTCTCTCTCTGTCTATATTTCTCTGTTAGCCGTTGAGAGTTTCAGTCTACCCTCCATTTTCACAACGTTCCCGATTCAATTCTCTTCTTCCATTTGTGTTTTATTTATTTATTATTATTCAAAGTTTTGGCCTTTATGATGACCCTTTTGCCAAATTGATCTCTCTCTCTCTCTCTCTCTCTCTCTCTCTCTCTACAATAAGCTACAATGTTTCTTCATCTCTTAGAATGATGGATGCTCCCTCCGTCTCTTCTTCCTCCTTTGGTTCCATTGCCACCAACGTTTAGGTACCCCAATTACTCTCTACCCTTTATTGCCAAACTTCATTGTCTATTGTTAAATGATCATTTTTACTGATTTTGTCTAATTGACTAACCTATTCACTCTCTATTTATTTATTTTTATTTTTATTTTCCATTTTTCACTTGTTTTGTTCTATCTGCCAATTACTCTCTACTGGGAAAAAAAAAATCACATTGTGTGTGCCTATCTGCATGGTAAAAGCAATGCAAATTTATTTTTTTTCATTGTTAATTACTCTTTTCACTGGTTTTGTTCTATCTTACTACCCCAATTACTATGTAGTTGAAAATTAAAAAAAAAAAATCACATTTTTAAATCATTTTTGTTTGCCCCAGATAAACAAAATCAATAAAAATGATGAAAAAAAATTGTGATTTTTACTGTCCTATATGGCATAAGCTTTTTACTTCTTCATTTTCGCTGATTCTGATCTATTTGGGGATATACCCCCAATTATTACCTTGTAATGGCAAAAAATCATCTCTTTTTTCATCGTAATCCTGTTAAACAGTGAGAAATGAACTTTTTTTTTTCTTTGTATATGAATATACCATTGTTTTCGTTTTGACAAAATGGAGGGCGATATAGGAGAAGTGGCAACATCAGTGAAGTAGTGTGACCATGGAGCAACGACGGCGTTGGCACGATGTGTTCTGGTTAGGAATATTTGTGATCCATTTGATTGGTTTGGGTTTTGTTCTTGGGGTTCTAGGCCTCAACAGGTTCAAGATAAAGAACAGGCTTGACATTGATAAGTACACCTACCGGTTCATGGAGAATGAGGCTGGGTTGACGGAGGATTACTGGCCGCTCTATGCGGTTGCCGGCGGTGTTGGCACTGCTATTGGATGGAGTTGGTTGTTGCTGTTGGGTTCACGCGCCACCCAAATGATGAAGGTGTCTGTGCACATCCTCACCACTTATCTTGCTGTGATCAGTGTTTTGTGTTTCTGGGCTGAGCAGTTTTTCTGGGGTGTTGCTTTTGCTATTGGTGCATCTCTGCAGTTCTTGTATGTGATATCTGTCATAGATAGGTAGGGGCCTGAAAGTAGCCTTTGAATGTGTTTTTTTCCGTTGGATTTGATGTTGTTTTCGTATTGCTGATTGGCTGCATGAAGGTTGTTAGTCCATCCATTTACAATTTTGAAGGTTGGTTTTTTGAGGGAAAGTTAATGTTTGAAGCTGTTGCAGATTTATTACTGAGACTGACTGACTACCTTTGTTGTTCTTTTGTATTTGATAACTGGTACAAAATCACCCATTTTGGTGACCATATAATTGTCTTTTCTATGTTAAAATCATTCCCTATTAAAGCCCGACTAACCTGGGTAAGAATGAGGACAATCTTTGTATGCAACCTTATCCTTGCATATTTGCAGAGAGATTGTTTACCGTATTTGAACACGTGATCTTCAATCGCAAACGAGCAGCTTTACCACTACTCTAGGCCCGCCTTCTTTAATTATCGTTTTTAATTTATAAAAAAAATGTTGATTTTTTACTATGCCTGGATTATGAGAGTCAGATTCTGCAATGCAATTATGGTGAGAACCTAGGTCATTTTATGCTGTTAAGTTAGCTAATGGATGAATGCTGTACACTGTATCTCACACTTTCGGAGGATAAATTTGGTCGTCCTAGTAGGCTATCCTTGTAAGAGTTTTCAATCTAAAAATTTCATAATTAATCAACCAGGCGTATTGTAATAACTTAATATTGTCTCCCTTCCATGGAAATGCAATAAATAGTTGTGTACATATATTTACATTTTAAAGAAATTTTTGCACCATGGATACTTTCATGTATTGGCAGATAAATAGTGCAATTTTCTAAGATTTGGAAGCTATGTGCTTTCATTTTACTTAATCAAATAGTATAATTTCTTCATGCCCTTCTTTTGGTCTTCTGTATATTAATTGAGTATTTAAGATGATTTCTGGTGGCTCTTGTTTTCTTCTCCAGACTTCCATATACAATGTTGGTTTTGCAAAAAGCTGCCAAGTTGGTGTGGAATCTTCCTGAGGTTATGAGAGTGGCATATGCATTTATGCTTGCTGTGCTTTTATGGATGGCCTTATGGTCATTTGGAGCTGCTGGTGTTGTGGCTTCGAGCATGGGTGATGGTGGACGCTGGTGGCTTCTTGTGGTGAGCTGGCAAGTTTTGCTTTTCATTCTGTCTGTTCTTGTTGGGACTGGTTATGGCAGCAGATTGTGTAAGCTTATCCCATCTGATTACCCTGGTGTTGCTATCATGGATGCAGGTCCTCTCTGTGAGCTTATTTTGGACAGGTGCTGTAATCTGTAATACTGTACATGTCATAGTGTCTGGGATGGTGGTTCTTGTTAGTATCCATGGTGGTAGCGAGGCTGCATCTGTTCCCGCTAACTCCTTAATGAAATCTGTACAGTATGCTTTAACAACATCTTTTGGCAGCATTTGCTATGGCTCATTATTCACAGCTGCTATTAGGACACTGCGATGGGAGGTATTAACTACCATTTTCTTTTTGTGAATTATTTGAAGTACATTTCCTTTATATGTGGAGACTATTCATTTTTCCTTTTCTTTCATCAAAATCTTGATGTCTTTCAGATAAGAGGATTGCGCTCAAAGATAGGCAAAAATGAGTGTTTGCTTTGCTGTGTTGATTTCCTTTTCCATCTTGTGGAGACTCTTGTCCGTTTCTTTAACAAGTATGCTTATGTTCAGGTAGATTTCAGTGTCCATATCAGTAATCACTTCCATATATGATAGAAATTGTATCTTTGTATATGAAAATCAAGATACAAGTAAGTTGTATTGCTAATTTTCATTTAGTTTAACTACCTGTTATTGTAAAGAGAAGAGTAATAGAACTGGTTCAGAATATAGGAAAAATACTTCAAATTTTATTGAAATAATTCCTCAATCCCTACTTTGTATCAAGAGATGTCAGATATGTGATGGAAGATGGGAATTATAGAAGAAATACAGATACCAGGTGTTCGAGAGACCTGGAACTCTCCCCTTATCTAATTTTCCTAAGTGATAATTGCCCCCACTGATTTTCCTCCTCCTCCCTTTTATTTCCCTCCATGTGCCCAGGTAACTGTCTAATGGACAGTTAAAAAGGGTAAATCCCAGTGCACAAAGCTCCTCGACTTTATGAGAGTAGGTGTTGATTGTGCTAGACAGTTATTACAATTAATTTCAACCTGGATTAAGTGTCTATTAGGATAGTTATTACAATTTATTTTCTACTAAGATATTAATCCCTGTTAGGAATCCCCTATTTAGGAAAGTAGGTTAGAATATAATGATGGACCCAAAGAGCCATGTGGGCCAGCTTTTGTTAGTTAGGACTAATAGTGTTAGTTAGGGTTAGTCATGGTTAATTAGGAAAATCGCAGTAGAATCAGTTAGTAAGGTCATTGGGTTATAAATAGAGTTGAGGGAATACATGTTAGAGTTCGACATTTTGTAAGCATAGAAGCAAGGCCAGAGACTAGGATTTTCCTGGAGGTTAAGATAGATGTGAGAGAAAGTCATTGTAATTTTCTACCTCACCTATCAGGAAACTGGGAAGGTATTTATCAATAAAGATTCAATATTCAATTCCCAATTTATCAATAAAGATTCAGTATTTAATTCCCAATTTATCAATAAAGATTCAATCAATATTTGATTCTCAATTCCAATTCCCAATTCTTGAGCCAGTTTCTATCAATCTCCTACTCTCCCTTTTATTTTTCCTACTATAGATCTTCCTAATGTGGGGTTTGCTAACACACATGTGAAAATACCTGGGCAGGGGTTTTTCTCATTGTCTTGGAAATTGAAATCTAAATGTAGGGGAAACTTTTGTTGAGGTTTGGTGAATATAATTAGCAGCCATGGTTCTTGGAAAAATTACTCTAGCATGGTTTATGCTCATGTCCCATGCAGATTGCTGTTTATGGTAAAAGCTTTAACCATTCTGCTAGAGATGCGTGGGAGTTATTTCAGTCAACTGGAGTTGAGGCACTTGTGGCCTATGATTGTTCAGGTGCTGTGCTGCTAATGGGAACCATTTTCGGTGGGCTAATAACTGGAACTTGTTCTGCTGTTTGGGCATGGATGAAATGGAGTGACAGAGCATTTATGATTGGCTCCACATCTATGCTCATGGGGATGATATTGGTAACTTTACAACCTCCTTGATTAAAGTTTGTTCATTTTGGGCTTGTCTATATGCTGGTTGTTGCAACAAAGAAGAATTTTATTTATTCATTTATTTTGTGTAATGTATATGCATATGTACGTATGGCATGAAACATGTATTCTTTTCAGGTTGGAGTGTCTATGGTTGTGGTGGAAAGTGCTGTTACATCCATATATATTTGCTATGCAGAAGACCCCATGTTGATTCAGAGATGGGACCCTGACTTTTTCAACCAGATGTCTGAGACACTACACCATCGACTTCAACATAGGAGTGCACGTGAAAGGGAAGTTTTAACCCACAATCAGCTTGATGGCCGTGTACGAGAAAACGCATCTATTTGAGGAATCACTCCATGTTATATAGTACACCACTTTATTTATCCACTATATGTCAACCATTTAGAATCTTTTTGTGGTTTGTTGTAACTTGTAAGATAAGTGTCATATTTCAAGTTAAAAGTAATTGGAAAAGAAAAAATATTTGTTGATGTTGTTGAGGGTATTGGCTTTGAGCAATGTTGGATGTGCAATGGTTGCCTTAAATATGGTCATTTTGTACCTTAAAAAAAGGAGCAAGAAAAGGAAGACTGCAGGCAGTGACGGTCCTGGTTATTGGTGTGTATGAATATTTATTTTAAACTACAAAAATGTATAGTTTCTGTTAATGTTTGGCCCAAACAAAAAAAGCAGTTTAAGTATTGAGATTGGTATTTGTCCCGGGTTCGTCTAGGCTTAGACTAACCCGAGTAGAATTCGAATCCAAGTTAAGATATAGTGTTAAGGTACAATAATCAACCCAGGAACCCAGACGAGGAACTAGGAACATGTGTAAGACTCTAATATTAGTGGTCTTAGGGCCCGTTTGGATGAGCTTTTTTTTCTTCAAAAGCTACTTTTTTTTAAGAAAAAAAGCACTTTTCGTTTTTAGTTCGTTTGGATGTCTGCTTTTAAAAAAAGGAGAAGTCACAAAAAAGCCAAAAATCTACTTTTCTCAGAAGCTAAAATTTTTAACTTCTCAGAAAAGCAGAAGTCAAAAGTCAAATATTTTTTTCAAAAATTAAATATTTTTATAAAAATATAAATAGCTTTAACTTTTGTAAAAAGTACTTTTAAAATAAGAAAGTAGTAAAAGTTACTTTTAAAAAAAGGTGAACCAAATGACCTCTTAATGGGCCTTACCACAATATTGATAGTGGGTCACTAATAACTACTCATTCTCACATAACCGTCTGATATCATATATATATATATATATATATATATATATATATATATATATAGTCCAATGTTAGTGGTCTTAACGGGCCTTACCACAATATCGATAGTATATATATATATAAAAGCCCCATAAGCAAGACACTGGAACAGATACTGAATATTCATTAATGTTCGTCCAGAACTAGGGTGTAAATGGGCCATGCTGGCCCAGTCCAGCCTACGGCCTGGCCTACATTGAGCTCAGCCCAGGGCCGGCCTTCTAGAAAAGTAGAGTAGGCTTAGGCTTATAAATTTTTTTTTTTAATAAATAGGCGATAGGCTAATTTTGTCAAGCCCGGCCTACAGCCTTGTAGGCTGGCCTATTTAATTTATTAAAATAAAATAATAAAATAATATTTATTTTATGTGGCAAAGACACAAAGTACCAAATACCAATATCTCTTACTTTTTGTGCTATTTTATTTTATGAAAGGAAAACTTGTCTAATGTCTCCAAATTTTACATGTTGTCGCAGCTTAATACCATGGAGCAATGGGTACCTTGCTGGATTATGATGTTACTGATGAAGATCTTTCAATAATACTCTTCTTTCCTTTGTCTTGACGGTGGTTTAAAGATTTTTAGATGAATGACATTCTGTTGTAGACTTTATTTCAGCATCCAGTAATTATATTTTTCTTATTTTTCCCATTTCTTTGACTCTATTCCTCTATGATATACATTCTAGAGCTGAGGTATTATGTTGACTCTTTCTTGTTTGTCATTTTTTCTTATGAGAAGTACAAGTGCATGCATGAATGAAACTTTTTTTGCTCTATACAATTATTTTTTTTGCTTAATATATATAGTGGGAGGCCTACAAGGCCTGTAGGCCATGTCAGACTTTCTTATTTTTTAAAATAGGCCGGGCTTGGCCTACAAATAAAGTCTTTAATAGGCTAGTAGGCCAGATAGGCTGAATTTTTTTTGACATAGGCTTGGGCCAGAATGGCCAAAGTCCAGCCCAGCCCAGCCCATTTACACCCCTATCCAGAACAATATTAATATTCCAATTTCATTATTAACAATTTTCTAGGAGCAAATGTATAAATTCTAAAGTTGTAAAACGATATTTTATACCGATACATAGGACAACTGAACGGGCTAGGCTGTTTAGGGCTAGGTCAGTTTTTTTATTTTATTTTTTTGATACATAGCCTGGAGGTATTCTTATTGAATCTTCTTTAGCCACTTTGCCTTCAGAGTATGGTTCTAAGACTAACTTTTCATTGAAGCAGATGACGCATTAGACCATTGCCATCAGAGTAAGGGTGAGAGAAGGGGGAGGCAGTTTTCCTCTATCCTATAAAGAATTTCAAGAAATCGCTTTAGAAGGTTTGAAACCATTGACTAAAGCAATCCTTTGGACACTTACTTGAGCTAAGCCTGAGGGTTGGGCTAGACCAATTTTAAAGTTGGGTCAAAATGAGCTTAGTATGTTTTGACTTAGTAGTTATCTTAGTCTAGTTAGGTTGGGCTGCCCTGTCCTCTCCTGTCTTTTCTTTTCTTTTTCTTTTTTTTTTTTTTTTTGTTGAACCTCTAGCTATTTCTTTAAAATAACAATAATGCAAGAACCTAAATTACCTAATCTTACAACAACAAAAAATTTAACTCAACGAAAACTAAAAAGTTTGAACAAAATGATTTTAATTAAATGAGGAACAGATAAAGGTAAACAATATCTTGTAAGGTAAACAGCGGGTTAATTTCAAGCCGCGTCGGACGGTCTAATTTGATATTTCTTATAAATAAATTTAAGTTTGCATTTATTTTATTTTTTATTTTTGGTAACAAAGTTTGGGTTGTAATTTTTGGTTATAACTATATATTTTTCAAATAAAAAATTATTATTTTTACATATAGTAATATAAGTTTTGTTTTTGTTAGTTATAGTAATATAAGTTAAACATGTTATTTTATGACCAATAATCATGATATAAGTGGGAAGGAGTTTGCTTCCTTTTTCTTTTCTTTTTTCGGTACAGTTTGCTTCCTTTAATAAGAAGTTATTCAACAATACTCAAACCAATTAAATTGGGTTGAATAAAAAAAAATATTATTTTATGATGTAACTAATTGTTCGATAAAGACCATAATATTAAATAATCAGTATCATAATCAATTTTTATGGATCAGTATTATTATTATTATAAAAAAATACTAGCCAATTTCAGTAGCTTGAGAAAAAATAATGGTCAATTTGGTATACCTAAAAAATGATCCATAAACTTTTCACCATACCATTCTAACAATTACATAGAATTTCAGTAGCTTGAGAAAAAATAATGGTCAATTTGGTATACCTAAAAAATGATCCATAAACTTTTCACCATACCATACTAACAATTACATAGAATGGTCACAAATTAGAAAAACTGGTTCATCATAATTAATTTAAACTCATATAAATATAAACAAGCTTTATGATATTGTTTAGTTTCAATTTTAATCTTGAATTAGTTTAACAATAAGATTGTTTGTTAAATCACAGTGTAATCTTTTTCTTTAAATTTTAGATAAAATATAAAGAGAAGCATATGGAGAAATAAGACTTCGAATACAGACTGGTTACTTTATAATTTTTATCTGACTTGATTTACATTAATTTTAACAAAAAGAAATCAAATAAAAATAAAAAATAATTATAAATTTTAAAAACTCTAAATTAAACTTCAAAGATCAAGCCTTGTACTACCTTTTTAATATGAAACCAAATAATCGCCCCTACCCCATGCTAAAAGTCCAATTTGAACATTTTTTATTTTCCTTCTTTCCTATGATGAATTCATTAAGAAAACAAAAAAGACAAACACTATTGTCCTTCGTTCTTTATAAATGGTAGAATTGCATATCCTCTAGCTATTGCATTAGTGGTTAGCCACTTAACATAAATATATTTGAAAAGATATATATTTTATTTCTTTTTTAAATAATTTTGAAGGTGCCTTTACCTCACTTCAATGGTCCCCTATTACATGTACAGGGGAGCCATATGCTAATAGCAAATGGTGAGGGCTGAAAAAGAACGAAGAAAAGTTTATCATAAAGCAAAAAAGAAAGATTACATATATATATATATATATATATATATATATATATATATATATATATATATATAGGGTAAGGATCATTTTACACCAGTGTGTAAAAAAGGTAGTACAAGGCAAGATATTCTTACACCAGTGTAAGAGTTAGAAGTCTTGCACTCAATCTTGACCATTAATCCACTTGTATCCAATGACTCACATTACTAAAAAATTAGAGCCCTTACATATAAGTGGGATCAATGGACAAGATTGAGAGTGTAACTTACACTGGTGTAAAATGATCCTGACCTTCGCAACCCCTATATTTGAGGCTAATTGTTTTCGAATTAGACCACAAATGACAAATGTCTGGAAAAGCTCTATTGCTATTTCGCAGGGCAATCCACATCGATGTAATGAAGTTATGAAGGGACATTTTACACCAGTGTAAGTTACACTCTCAATCTTGTCCATTGATCCCACTTATATCTAAGGGCTCTAATTTTTTAGTAATGTGAGTCATTGGATACAAGTGGATCAATGGTCAAGATTGAGTGTAAGACTTCTAACTCTTACACTGGTGTAAGAATATCCTGCGTCATACATATATATATATGGGAAGGTTATATTTACAATCTTTTTGTTTACAAAATCTTACAAATTACACTATGTCTGACCGGTCATACTTCAATCAAGAGTGTATGACTAGTCATACTTAGTGTAATTTGTAAAAAAAATTGTAAACAGATCTTTTCCCATGTATATATATATATATATATATATATATATATATATATATATATAGGGCTTATCGTTTCTTAAGTTGCTTGAGATAATTTTATCTCCGGCTACTAAATCATAACAGTACAAAGATTGATCAATGGTGATAAAGGATAAAGGAAGAGAGAAAAAGAAAATCATAACCATTCAAAGGTGAATCAATTAATATAAGAAAATAAATAAGCAAAACGACATAGTTTTTAGATAGACGGAGATAAATATTGTTAGGAATGTGGCTTCCATACTCAAGAGGAGGGTGAATTTAGTATTACAAAATTTTCGCAAAAGCCCCCTTCTAGTTTCTAAATAATAATTTCAAGCAAACTTTGATATGTGGAAAGCTAATCAATACATTCAAACAATTCATAATATATAATATATCACAATTATATAACATTCTAGCACATACAAGATATCAAAGAAGCAATTAAAGTGATAGAAATAAAGAGTTTAGAGAATTGCAAACACAATATATCCTGGTTCGGTCACCACCACTTGTGACCTACATCCAGACTGAAGCCGCTCGATCAATTCT